CTGACCTTCCGGTAACAGGTCTTTGGTGATCTGGCTGTGTATGAGCTAGGGAGGTAGGAACCGACTCTTAAGAGGCCTCTCCTCTCGGACGGCTCCTTGGAAGGGAGGTGGGAAGGAGATGGACAGAGAGAGAGAGGGAGAGAGAAACAGTGTATTTAGGGAAATGTGTATATATGATTGTTCTCCAAGTACACATTTCACAGTTGAGCCAGAATGATTAGGAGGTAAATTGCCAGCTGGGCATGTCAGTTCTTTTGTTTACTTGTACTGAGTTAGTGCCAACTAATAAAATAAAGCCCTTGATTTGGGTTTGGGATGTCCCAACTTTCCTTTTGTGAAAAATTAACTGGCTGCCTGTCTGCCTACCTACCTACCTACCGATCGATCGATCGATCTATTGATCGATCGATCTCTGTATCTGTCTGTCTGTCTCTTGTAGTTGTGCTTTGTTTGATATTAGCTAGAGTGACTTCATTTGTGGGAAAGATCACTGATCAGCTTGCTTGTCTAAAAGCCAAACCTGGATGGGGTGGGGAGGTGAGGGTGGGGGCGTGGGGGTGGGCAGCAGAGGTCGCCTTTCTACCCATCCTCAGCCAGAAAATTAAAGAAGACCAATAAACCCTAATCCTGACCTGGGGGCGAATCCCAATAAAGATCCAGGTTAATTTTTCCTGCCGATACAGCCCTTGAATTCATTGTACGAATTAGACGTTCTGTGGCCCTAATTTGCCAGATCAGATTGTGTAATTATCTTTTATAGGCCTGGGTGTGAGGTGTGCTCAGTGTTTATGCTGCAGGGGGCTGAGTGCGTGTTTGGATTTCAGAGATGCCTCTGTGTCTGCCAGGCTGAGCTGCTTCCACAGAGCGGGGGTGGGAGCTTGTCTGCCTGGTCCAAAGCAGGCCCAGCGCACCTGCGTGGAACAGAAGGACTTGGGACAGAGTCAGCGGAGGGTCATTGGGAGGCACTTGGGGGAAGGCCTCCGGGCTGGGGTGGGGGTCTCCGAGAAAGGGCATTCAACAGAGGATCTGCGTAAAGGGTGGCAAGGTTGGAGTTTGGAAGGAAGTCAGACTCCGAGCTGGATGAGCTGCTCATGACCTTAGGCCCTTTTGCCTTCGTGAGCCCCTTCCCCACCCCTCCCCCCAAAATGTTCAAAACGACATTTTATTAGTTAAAAACAATTGTTTAAGTTTATTTATTTATTATTTATTTATTTATTAATGTTTATTTTTAAGAGACAGAGAGAGATCGCAAGCATGAGTAGGAGAGGGACAGAGAGAGAGGGAGACAGAATCCGACGCAGGCTCCAGGCTCTGAGCTTGTCAGCACACAAGCCTGAGGCAGGGCTCGAACCTCCGAACCGTGAGGTCATGACCTGAGCCGAAGCTGAATGCTTAACCGACCGAGCCACCCAGGCGCCCCTTATTTATTTTTGAGAGAGAGAGAGAGAGAGAGAGAGAGAGAGAGAAAGCGAGCACATGAGTGGTGGAGGGGCAGGAGAGAGAGGGAGACACAGATTCTAAAGCAGACTCCAGCCTCCAGCTGTCAGCGCAAAACCAGATGCGGGGCTCGAACCCACAAATTGCAAGATCATGACCTGAGCCGAAGTCAGACGCTCAACCAACTGAGCCACCCAAGCACCCCTAAAAATGACATGTTATGATTGCAGTGATTTTAAGGGTGAATATCATCCAGGCTGGATTCACTGTTATATAGGCATGAAAATTATACTCATTTTATTGCTTCTAATTTTATAAGAAATTAGAACATTTTCGTGGATCGGGGTCCTGGGCACTGCATCCTGTGCTCAGTGAGTATCGGCCTCAGGTACCTTCTTAGAAATGGGGCCCGGGGGGGTTGGCCAGATGACAACTCCCTGGCCTGTTTTGTAGAAGTCACTCCCCTCTGATACTGGACCCATTCAGAAGGTCCAAGAATTCTCCTAAACTGCAACCCTTGTTTTGGCTGAAGAGGGACCCGTTGCTTACAAAATGTTAAAAGCTGGTGTTTGATCTTGCCCTCCCCTAGTCTTCTGCACCGTGTGGCCTTCTGTTGTCTGCGAGACTGACAGCGTGGGTGGAGAGGAGAGACCAGCGTGGGCTGGCGTGGCCTGGACATGTTCCAGACTCCTGTCTTCTTGTGGCCTCACCTGCTGAGCCTTCAGTGGCTCAGTCGCAGGTATCCGGGAGGATCCGCCCCTTCCATCTTGGGCCGAGGTGGTTGGGCCAAGAGCCACTAGATGGTGTTTGGCTCAGGTATCCCTGGAGATGTCTGGAAGGAACTGGTCCGGGTGGGGGGTACAGATGGAAGGGAGGGACCTTTGGGGCAGGCTGTGGGTAACCTGATGCAAGCTCAGAGGTTTGGTGCCGGGCGTGGCCGGCTGCCATTGGCCACCTTCGAGGGAACACCATTCACTCCCTGTCCTGCCCTAGTCTGCACCGAGGATGAATAGGCAGCTGGGAGGTGGGTGTGTGGCCACAGAAGGGCTCCGTGTGGCAGGTGCTGAGCCAGTATGCCGTGGGCAGGGAGAGGCTGTATCCATGGTCCCCCAGGCTTCCCGCCTGCCCTGGATAGGCACCTTGACACAGAAAGCAAAGGGGAAAACCCCCAGAGCAGAAACAAACTGTTTCATTGAACGCAGTGTTTCTTAAGAGTGTGTTTCAGGCTAGCGTTTGGATTGCTGAGAACTGGATTAAGCGGGGAGGGGGAGAGGGACAGCTGTCTCTTGGGATGTGGCCCATCTGGCACTCCACAAGTCAGCTGGGTAGGTCTTGGGGCCTGCTGGAGAGGCGGCGGGGAGAGTGGGGCAGGGTGGGGTCAGTTTGCCCGAGGTTTCTGCGGAAGGGGACGTAAGGTGTTTGAGGGCATCCCTGCTGAGCCCTGACTACTGAGCACATTCTGTGGGACCACCAGCATTGGGCCGGCCCAGGAGCGTATTGGAAAGGCAGAATCTCAGGCTGCCACCTCAGACTTGTTGATTTGAATTTTAACGGATTCTCCAGTTGATCCTTACATTTTGATGCATGTTAAACTTTCCTGGGGGAACTTAACATTTTCCTTAACCCAATGCTCAGACCTTACTTTATACCGACCAGAGCTGCTGGGAGTGGGACCCAGGCTGCAGTAGGATTTTCCAGCTGCCAAGGGGAGTGATTTCAGTGAGTAACTTGGTCTGGGAGCCTAGTTTGGGAGAACCATTCCTCTCCCTCTGTAGGGTTTAAGGCCCCCACTCCCCAAAGTCTGCTACTACATTGGCTAAATCGAAATGTCATGGGGGCAGGGTGAGCTTAGACCTCCTTGTGTTAAATGTCCTATGTCCCCTGGAAGGGTGAGACTGGAAGGGTGTCCCCTGGAATGGTGAGCATTTCCACTCATCTGCCCTTTGACTTGAATGGGGTTATCGGATGCTTTCCACCTAATGAACTGAACACAGGTTGGGCGTGGGGGTGCCCTTACATAAAGTAGTAACAGGAGTGGGAATCCATTCTGGTGCCCAAGTTGAAATTGGAGGATACGTTGTGGTTTGCTTTGCTTCTTTTTGATGAACTTTCTAGCATGGGTGAGTCATCTAGTTATGTCTCAAGTATTGCATGGCTCAGCGGAGCTAAAATTGTTGAGTTCCTTGCCCTGTACTCAAGAGCCCTACATTGCATTTGAGGTTGCTCTTGGGATAAGTTCTTGGGCATGGTGGAAGAAGCTGGCTCGGCAGATGCGTGTCCCCAGGATTGGGGGAGGGAGTTGTGGGGCTCAGAGGATGCCGATCTGCTGGCGGGCATTGGTGGACGGGGTTGGCCACAGAGTACCAGCATGGACCCTGTCTTCCATAACTCTAGAAACCGCGGGAGTGATCCGGGCCCCAAGATGATGTATGTGTGCATCCAGCGAAAGAACAAAACACCACCCAAACAATCCTTCCCCTTGTGAGTGAAGGTTACAAGTTTTCTGTTTCAAATCTGATGGTATTATTTTTCCCCCTTTTCTTTCTTCTCCCTGTTTTCACTTGCCAACCTGGGGGTCTAGAGTGATTTCTTTGAGCCTAATGATGAGGAAGCTTAGAATAGGGCTATTATCTTAAACACCTTTTGAAATACTACTCTTCCTGGTGTCTGAATCAGGTTGAACAGAGGTTGGATTTAAAGATTAAATATCTATTTTAGCAGCAGCAGCAGCAGCAGCAACTATGCTCAGGAATTATATGGATGGCATGGAATAGCCTTGCTCTCTAGAAGCACGTAAAGGAATAAATGAAAGTGAAGCTAATAACAATGGTAGGGGGCAGGCACAGAGCTAGATGGTCCTCCCGATTTATCCCATCTGATGAATTCAGACATACCATAAAGTCAGAACATACACAATTCAGTAGTGTCATAGGAGTCTTTGAGTAAAAGGACCCTGAAAACCAGAACAACTCAGGCCTGTGGCAAGAGATTATTATTCTTATTATTTTTTTTTTTACTAAAGATTCACTGTGAATGTAAGATTTAACTTGAAAAAAAATTGCTATCCAATGTAATATTCGTTTCATTTTATTGTAGGTGTTGTTTATTAAGATGATAGCCTGTATTTCTTTGATAGTATTCTTCCATTTGCCATGTCTGTGACAGACATAGGAAATGGATTTTTGCCTTTATTCAGAATGAATGTAATTTTATTTTATATTAAAGAATAATCAGGGCGCCTGGCTGGCTCAGTCAGTTGAGGGTCAGACTGGATTTTGGCTCAGGTCATCATCCCTGGGTTGAGTGAGCCCTGGGTTGGGCTCTGTGCAGAGCGTGGAGCCTGCTTAAGATTCTCTCTGTCTGTCTCTCTCTCTCTGTGTCCTTCCCCCCCTCCCATTCGCTCTCCCTCTAAAATAAGTGGGGAAAAAAAGAATAAACAACTATTAAACTCCTATGTCCTTGGCAGGCTGTCTGGCATTCAGAGACCACTCCCTCTACATTTTAAGCTTGAAGATGAGTTTTATTGTCTTATTTCCTGGTGTAACTCTCCCTTCTTTTTCTAGGTGAAACCAGAGGTTTGAGGCTGGCCTGCATAGGTGCTCCGAACCAAGAAAGAAGGGCAAGACACAAAGGTGAGCTGCAAGAAGGTAACCCCTTCTTGCTTTGGGGGTTTTGTTCCTTCTACAGCCAAGTTCCTCTTCCCAGACATCCCGAATGCACCTGTACCTGCATGCCAGCCCACAGGGGTGATTGGCAGGCAGGAGCCTTGCAGTTAGCTGTCGGAGAAGGTCCAGGGACACAGGTTAATAAATACTAACGGTCATTGCAATTAATTCCAGGCAGGCTGTGTTCTCACAGCTTCTACCTGGGCGAACTTGTTCCCACCTGTCACAACCCTAGCAGGTCAGCGTGTTCTACCCAGCCTGCAGGTGAGGAGACAGAGGAACGGTCAGTCGCCCAGGGTTGCCTTCCATCACTTCCTCCCTTTGTGACTATAGGCCGATGGCCTTCACTTCCCTAGACCTCAGTTTTCGCCGCTGTTAAATGGGGACGATGCAAGGAAATCCCTGCTATGTTGGGTCATGAAATGAGAGGATACAGAGTTAAGTGCTTGGCATAGTGCCTGGGCTGTATTAAGGCACACACTTAATGTCAGTGGGGGTTTTCCCTCTTTAGCTCCGGATATGATCTGGGGTGAATTGGTAAGCCTGTCACCTATGAGATGGCGATGCTAATACCTTGTCGTCAGGGGAGGTCACGAACTAAATGAGACAGTACAAAAATAAAAATGAAAGTCCAGATCATAATAAGTGCCCTGTCTGTTCCCTTCCTTATTTATCTTATTCCTTATGGATCACGTAGAAGGAAGATATCCAACCGCGTTAACTCCCCCATCCCCTAGAACCCTGAATCCTGACCATTGCTCCCCAGTGATTTTCGGAGTTGATCCTTCCCCTCCGTTCTCCCAGCCACCCTGCTGATCTTGACTTTGGTTGCACACACCGGGATACTCACTGGGGGCGCCAACCTTTAGATTTCCAGTCTTTCTTTCCGCACATAATCCTACCTGTGCTTTCTCTAACCTGCTTTCTTAAACCCAGTATTCATCATGGCTACTTTCTGATTGAAAAAAAAAAAAAAAAAAAAGATAAAACAGAAAAACAACCCTGTCATGCTTCTCTAGTTGTTATCTGAGCAACCAGACCTCACTGGATACTTAATCTTATTGCTACGACTCCCCACTCAAATCCGGATCCTTTTAGCCAAACTTATGTGCTTCGTATCCTACCTCCAAGACTGGAATGTTTCCACGCCACCCCCCAGCGCACCCCCCTGCCCCGCCCGCCATGTTGCCATCTATGTGCTCACCTCCTCAGAACCCCGTAACCATGGGGGCCCAGGGCACTGGAACCTCATCTCACCTTTGCCTACCTCCCCCACTGGTGCCTTCACAGCTGGGGGTGGGGGGCAGAGTGGGAGCTTATTTTCTGTTGGGTGTGGGTGTTTCTTCCATCTCATCCCTCCCTCCCTGCATGTCTTCTGCACACACCGGGTGCTCAGATGGCAGTGGGGAGGGAGGGGGGGCCTGAGAAGGAGTCAGTCGGGGAAGTCAGTGTGGCCGCCGTCTACAGTTCGGGTGACTGGCAGGGGAGCGTGAGTGGGGGGCGGGGTGTTAATGAGTGACTCCGAGGGGATTTCCAGGCCAACTGTGGGCACTGCCTTTGTGAAAACAGCTCCCTCTGCCTTAGCCCGCCCTCCCCCCTCCCTCCCCAGGTGACCTCAGCCTGAATAGCAGTTCGTTCCCTGAGATACACAGCCCTCCATGCCCTTGGGAACGGCAGCGAGTTCCTCATTCTTTCCTTCATTCGCTCGTGCATTCATCTAACGGAGCGTTACTGGGTGCCCGGGCCGTGCCGGGGCACTCAAGGCAGAGGACGCCATCCTGCTGCCACAGAACTGGCCGAGAGTGTGGGGAGGGTGGATGCTAAACAGCAAAATAGTAAATATGTTAATCACCTAGTACCTGGGAAGGTGCTGGGCTCTGCAAAACAACAGAGATGTAGGCAGGAAAGGCAGGCCGAGTGTGCGGGCAGGGGAGGGGAGGGCGGGTTGCAGTGTTGAATAAGGCAGGGCTCCTCACTGAGGAGGGGACCTCTGAGCACAGGCTTGAAGGAGCTGGCCACGTGAACACTTTGGGAAGAGCTTCTACAGAGGGAAGAGGGGCGTTGAGACCGAGGCCCCCGCCCACCTGGTGTCTTTGAGGACAGGGGCACCGGTGGGGTTTGAAGGAGGCCCTGGCCAGCGAGAGCCTGGGGGGCATCAGCCTTTCCCACTGAGGAAACTGGGAGCCACATGTGTGGAAACGGAGAGGAGCAGAGCAGCTGAGGGGTGACGGCACGATCGGCCGGGCTATCGGGGTGCCTATCCCTGTCCCGCCCAATCACATACGTGTGACAACGGGATGACATTTAAGGTGGGGATGAGCTGAGAAGCTCCGAGGCCATTTCTCAGGAGCTGTGATTGCCCCGTTTAGGCTAGCCTCTTGCCCTGGGGTGGTGGCTCCCTGTGAGGGTCAGTCTCGTCTCCTCCCTGCCTGTGAAGCCATCGGGCATCAGACCGGTAGGCTGCGGGCTCGGCTCAAAGGGAAAGAGGAAACAGAAGGAATGGGGGAAGAATTCTGGGAGGAGAGAGGCCAGATGCCCCCATTTTTCCCGTCCAGTAGTGGAAGGACAGGAGAGGGAGCAGGCTGCCCTCAGGGGACACCCCAGAGGCTGATCCCGGCCATCCCTGTGGTCTCCCTGCCGCCCTTCAGGGGGCTCTGCCTGGTGCCCTGCAGCACCTGTGTCTTCCTCACCTCTTCCTCCTGCCGTCAGAGGGAGCCTGACGGTGACGGGGCTGTCCTCACTCCCCGTGTGTCTTTCCTGTCCTGCGGTCAGAGTGACCGCCCGGCTGGGGCAGGCTCGTTGTGCCCCAGAGCTCACCCCTCAAACAGCGTGTCTCTTAGAATGCTCCCGTGGGGACCTGAAAACCTGACACCCAGGGAGGAACTGCTCTTTCCTCAGGTCCAACCATCACGCGTGTGTGGTGGGGACAGAGAGGTGGCTAGGACGCGGACTTCTGCCGTAACCGTAATTGAGAGTGAAAAGCCGGGGCTCTGGGAGAAAGAACGAAACCAGCCCCAGTTCCGAGCGCCAGTGGGGATGACCTCAGCCGGGGGACGGGAGCCGTCCAGAGGACTCGCGGATGGAACTTCCCCTCGGGGTCCAAATGTGAGTCACCGTGGCTCGCGTCTGTGCAGCGGGCTCCGTCCCCGGGCCTCCCACTTTTCACCCTGGGACATCATGGTCACTGCTCAGGCCTGATGACTCACTTGGTGTCCCTGAGCCAGCCACGGCGGGGTGGAGCCTCTCTCTCCTGGCCTCTGCACCCTCCGTGCTGTGGACGCAGCTTGGCCGGCCACGTCCTCGGACAGTATGTGCGAGACGTGTGTGGCAGACAGAGCCCCTCACGCCGCACGGGGTTGAGCCGCACAGCTGCCAGAGCCGATTTCAGAATTCAGTCTGGGAAGTCCGGGGGGCTCCGGGCCGCAAAGAGCACGGCAGCCTCGCTCTCTGAGCCCCGGAGTGAGTTGCACTCCGACACCTGACAGGTGGGGGACACACGCCCGCCCGCCCCAAGGGAGCACCCTGTCGCCCCATCTAGACGAGCGGAGTTCACCCAAAAGGCCAGCGGCTGGCGGGGTGTCAGATTTCCCACCACACCCGGCACTCAGCCTCTCCTCTCATCTTTCCCCCTTGGTTTTCATCTTCTAATGATAGAAAGAGTGTCATCTTTTCTCAACCTGTCAGTCTCACACCTGCCGGGAGCCCCTGGCGGTGAGGCGCCCAGTGCTGTCCAATCTGATGTCATCTGTGTTTATCGTCTGTTTTAGAAACCAGGTAGCGGGAGGGACTTTCTGAGGATTAAAAAAAAAAAGTATGGGGCGCCTGGGTGGCGCAGTCGGTTAAGCGTCCGACTTCGGCCAGGTCACGATCTCGCGGCCCGTGAGTTCGAGCCCCGCGTCGGGCTCTGGGCTGACGGCTCAGAGCCTGGAGCCTGCTTCCGATTCTGTGTCTCCCTCTCTCTCTGCCCCTCCCCCGTTCATGCTCTGTCTCTCTCTGTCCCAAAAATAAATAAACGTTGAAAAAAAAAAAAAAAAAGTAAATCCCCAGACTATTTCAGTGAGGTGTTTGGTTTGTTTGTTTGTTTATTTGTTTGTTTGTTTGTTTTGCCTCCTGTTTTTTTCATTTTCATAATTTTCATTTTTTCCCCTCTCTTTTTAATTAAAAAAAATTATAGGAAATACCATGCAAGGGTGGGGAAGGAAGGGGCACCTGAAGAGGGGTCCACCTTCCCCCAGGTGAGGTTGATTTGGTGTATCTCCAGAAAACACAGAAAGGTGGCCCTGCCAGGCCAGTCCTGCCTCCCACCTGACGCAGGGCATAGAGAGTATGTTGACAGTCATGGGACTCAGTTTACCACCCACAGCCTCTGTCCTTCCTGAGGGTGATGGAGCTAACTTATGGCCTCACAGTTTTGTCCTTTGGCTCATCATCTAGAACTTTCCACTTCTGGTCATGCTTGTGTGCAAATGGAGGGGTGGGCAGGTAGGAGAGCGCTCTTTAGGGTAAAGGTCAAAGGTGACAGACACCTGACCCACTGTCAGGCCTGGGTGACCACCTGTCAAGTACCCCTCTCTCAGACATCTCTCCAGACTCCTTGTCCCTACTGAGGGAGTGGGGAGGGATGGGGAGGGGCAGAGGCTAGGGCACGGGGACACTGTTTGGCCTAGACCTTGAGGGTCCACTTCACAGGGCCCAGCTGATGCGGAGAAAAGGTGGTCGAAGGTATAGGCACAGATGCCACTTGGCCCAGGTGTGAGAACTTGTGTGAAAGGGTCGGCCTCCGGGTGACTCAGTCTGCTAGCAAACTATAAAAGGGAAGTGACTCACTGTCAACCCTGAGCAAGAACTCCTAAGGCCAGGCCGCCAGCACCTGTCTGGGACGTGGTTAGTTATTAACGCTGCCAGTAAGAGTGTCATGGGAACCGGACGCTGGCCTGGATTGCTGGAGGTGGCTGGGCTTTTTCACA